CCACAAGGAAGTCTGTCGACAAATCTAGGCTTTTACAAATGGGATATGACACACGTAAAAAGAGCAAATCACTTTCCTGCCTAGGCTTGGAGCAACGCATGTACTTTTTCTGGGTCTATGTATTTTTACTGGCCATATTTATATTCCTGTTCTACATGTCACTGGGGAGATTAACTGTTGATGAGGGACATCCATATGGCACAGGTCACATAGGTCAACACATCAAAGTATCCATCAGTGTCCACATGACTCTCACAGTAATGGTGTCCTCCATTGTGACTGTGCTTTACGCCCGGGGGGCATTACTTGCTTACATAACAATGTTGTTACATTATAATGCACCTCAAGCTTTTGCTCTAAATACTGTGAAAGAATCCCCAAAGTGCCATATCCCTTGGTACCACAATATAGCATCCAAAAATACCTCTTATTATGGATTGAATTCCCATTAAATGCCATTTCAAGTGCTGAAGCTCGGACCGCAGAATTAGCTGTAAGAGGTAGTGAACATCTCTGTCTCATCTCTCTTGAACTTTATCTCTTGTTGCTGCTGTAATAGCAGATAATAGTTGTACTGTAGAGAGGACAACTATTCAATCAAACTCTGAGACAACAGTGACGTGGTTTGGACAGAATGGATAAGTACCTTGTTGAGAGCGGATAAGAGTGCTTTGCAAGCAAATGTGTGGCTATTCGCACAGTGTCTACTTCAGAGTGGACAGTGGATACAGGCACCTAATCCATTATAGCTGGTCCTGGAAGACAGTAAATCAGGAGTGAGATAGGGGAAATAAGACCACTGGTTAGCTAGAGGATTACATAATGTCACCAGAATAGTTGTCCACATACACCAATCAGCCATAACATTATGAGCACTGACAAGTAAAGTGAATAACACTGATTATCTGGTTATCATGGCTCCTGTCAGTGGGTGGGATATATTAGGCAGCAAGTGAACATTTTGTCCTCAAAGTTGATGTGTTAGAAGCAGGAAAAACGGGCAGCGTGAGGATTTGAGCGACTTTGACAAGGGCCCAAACTGTGCTGCTAGACGACTGGGTCAAGAGCATCTCCAAAACTGCAGCTTCTTGTCAGGTGTTCCCGGTCAGGCAGTGGTCAGTAACTATCAAACGTGGTCAAAAAGCGGTGACTAGAGACAGGGTCATAGGCCCCAAGGCTCTTGATGCACGTGGGGAGTAAAGGCTGGCCCGTGTGGTCCAATCCAACAGACGAGCTACTGTAGCTGAAATTGCTGAAAGGTTAATGTTGGTTCTGATAGAAAGGTGTCAGAACACACAGTGCATCACATTTTGTTGCGTATGGGGCTGAGATAATCGGCTTTGGAATGACATTTGTGGCATCAGCCATTGAAAAGTTATGTTTACATTGTGTGTGCATATATAAGGTTCTTAAGACTACTCCGGGTTTTTCAGGGGAATATTCAGCATCTATTTGCTGCCTTGTATGTATAAACAGCAGCTCGCATTGTCACCTCTAGTCTATCCTTACGTGCTGTTGAAAGCAGGCATATCTTTTGTCAGATTATAAGACATACAGGCCATATACATGTTGTGCTGCTGTTAAAAATAGCAAAACTAGATTTATAAAAACACTGTTCCTTGCCTGTACAAGAGTCTCTCTCTCTCTGCATATTTGTTTGTTGTGGTTTCCATGGAGATTTTCTCTCATCACTATGTGTTAAGGGAGAGAGTACTTGGCCTGTCTTCCTCCCCAGACGTCAGAGGTCATCGTCTGCTCAGTCAACCTATAAACCTGCCTGGTTTCCATGAGATATGTTTCCTGTGCACATAGACGTACATTCTTGCCTTTTGTTTACAGTCTGTCCCTATGGGTCCACACACACACACATACTTACACATTTACATGCAGATATACAAATCAGTTTTTCTGTCACGCTCTCTTTGTCTATTATTTTCTGAATTTATCATGACGCAAGTGCTTGCAAAGGGTTTAAGGGGGCCAAAGAGCAAAATGAAGATGCAAAACACTCACTTACACTCTCAGCTCTCCCTTTGTGTGTGTGTTTGAGTGTGTGATTGCTTGGCCTGTCTCTCGCCTATCAAGCTCTGGTGTCGTCTTTCTGCCATCTGCCATTGCCACCCTACTGACATGCACACACACACACACACACACACACACATACATACACAGACATGCACACACACATATTGAGCGCTCATATAATACTCTGTCATCGCAAAACCTGTTCTCTTTTTCTCTTCCTTCAGAGAAAGTCTGTTGTTTCTGTCTGGTTTCCTGTTGTAATTTTGTGTTAGCATCTACTTCTAGTAAAGGAACAAAGGAATAAGGCGTTGTCTACAATATTGGAGAATATGCATTTCATGTGTGTTTTTGTGCGTAAGATATTAATATTTAATTCAGCCCCTCCCTCAATCATGTATTAATCATGGGGCAGTCTGCTTAGGCTGAAAATAGCGCCTAGCAACCCAGAAAAACAAAATCCATAGTAGTTGTGGGTATGTCATGTGCTGCTGCTCGTTCATGTGTGACAGCACATGGTCTCTTCTCACATTTTCCTTCCTTCCACGCTAAGTTTTCTTCCCCCACGTCTGTCTCTGCCGGTTGAGGGAGGATGGCGACAGAGATTTCTGATGTTTGCATGAGAGATAGACGCAGTCTTGCTCAGTTTTTAAAGTTTTTCAGTTTGAGAAGTGTTGCTGTCTTTAAAAAGTAGTTTATCAGATTTTAGACTTAGACCTGCGCACATTCTTAATTGAACTCTGAATATAGCCTGATGTGTCTGTGCTGAAACCCACTGAGTATGGGCAAAGTTTGAAATGTGATTGTAAGAAAGTCTGCTTCCTGAAAGTGGTGATAATTGCAAGATTACTGACCCCACCATTTGTACCAGCTGCCAATCTTAAGGATAAACTGATGTAGGCAGAGTGATGGCATAATTTCAGCCTAGTTGTTTGCAGGTGGGAGCAGAAATAGCTTGTGTAGTGAGTGCAAAGACTCTTTCCACAAAAGAGCTTGAATTTAAGACCACAGGGCAGGAGAATGGCGGTTCATGAAGCCTGAGCAAAAGACCTAAAAGCCAACTTTTCTACAGGACAGGATATCCTGGGAAATGCTCTAAAATGTGTGTTAGCGGGGTTCTTACAATTCAGACCAGCAGGCTAATAATATTCTGGTCTGTGTGTACAGTGCAGTCAGAGAGTATTAGGACATTGATATGTTTTTCATTGTATTGGCAGCACTCCATCACATAGGATTTGAAATAAAAAACAGAGACTATGAGGAGCTGACTTTAAGCTAACCACCCTGAACAACAGTACTGTAAACTGTGGCAGTTCTGCACTGACTGTAACTGTTCATGTCACAATTTATGTGACTGTTCTCCACTCAAGGTGGATAATATAGCTAGATATTATGCATGTTATTTTCTGTAACTTTTAATGACTTGATTTCCACAAAGTAAACATTTTAAACTTCAATCAGCTCTAACCACACACAACATTTAGCACAGGTGCAATGTGCAAATGCAAAATTTGATATCAGGAACAAACAAATAAAATGAATACTAGAACTCACTCATACAGCAAAGCAAGACAAAGAGAAGACAAGCAAGTTCTCTCATTGTCAAACAGTAGACAGTAAACAGTAGATTGTTGTCTTTGTCAAACTGATCTTGTGATTTGCTAAGGGCCACTCTTCAAAGGCCCTGATAGCTGCATTACAATCACGCATTGTAGCACCACAGTGTCTACTGTATGTATCTTGGAGTTTACTTCTGCCTGTCATTGACATAAAATATTGTCCTTATGCTTTCCTGACTTCATTGCTTGTGTCATTTGGGGCATGTGTAACCCAGGGCAGATCCAGCTATGAATACAATCATGTCACCTATTTTTAACATGTTAAACTCCTGATACAAGTTCAAGGGAGACGTATTCTCCTCAGAGCTTCAGCTAGTCAAAAAAAATTGGGTTCAACTTGTTGGCTCTTGCTGTTGATTATTCAATTTATCAAAAGTTATTTACAAAATTGTGCAGATTTTTAATAAAATTTATTGAATTGTGGCAGTAATTTGTAGAGCGGAGTGGGAATAAGTGAGAAAAGATTAGTTTGAGTGTGTTTCCTACCAGGGCATTTATAGATGGGTCCTTCAGGAGTTTAAGCCGCAGTCTGTTTCTGTTACTGGTTTTATTACCATCTGCAACATGTAACTGCACAATCATGAGAAAACAGCTTCTGTTTGTTTAAGCCATAAAAGCGCATGAAGGGCCAGTTCTATATCAGTGACCTTCTAAACCAAATTAATCAATTTGGTTTTCTCAGAGATGGGCCAGAAAGGTCTGTAGCCTATCTGTCTGTGTCCCAGATCTTTTCATTGCTGAAGCCAGATTAGCATTAATGTTACAAATAAGAAAGCCTGCAATCGGAAATGCTGATCACTTAAAGTAAGGACTGTCGTATCTTGCTTGTTTATGGGAGTTACCAAATTATGGGAGTTTTGTAATCTGTTCCTAATTTCACAAGCAACCTAATACAACTGCAAATACTCTCACTGTTGTGGATTAGCAAGGATAGTTGATATTAATCTTAATCCAATAATGCATAACAGAGATTATTTTTTTATTTTTATTTTTTTAGATGTGTTTTACAAAGCCAGTTTTCAAGGTTTAAATTATTAGCACCACTGGGTGGATTTCTTGGGGCAGCTGGCTCGTAATGTGTGCTACAATGTGTGTTTTTTCCTTCTCTCTCTCACTGTCTGACTTTGTTGAACAGATATCATATTACTGTACACATCTGCTTTGTTTTTGTCACTTTCTACTGCTTGTTTTCTCTCATTTCCCACTCCCCCTCATCGTCATGGTGTCTCCATATCCCTGTCCAGTGGTCTCTTCCCTGTGAGCTGTAGACAGATGTTGGTGGTTTGAATGTTTTCAGCTGCTGATTTTAATACCACATACTGAACACCACATTCAAGATCTTTTTCTACTCTCTTGCAGGTGGCTTGACCAGCAACGAGCAGCCTCTGGAACTTCTTAAACCAACTGCACTCAACCATTTTGGTAGGAAATTT